ATGGGCTTAGTATGTTGGTATTTGTTCGGAAACATCTTCCAAGATGAGAATAAGACGCACCGATATTTTGAGTTGTTAATTACACATTGGTGATTCATCATCTTTGTAGCCCACAAGCCTTACGACGTTCGACTAGGGAATATAACCCCTTAATTTACTGCACCTATCTCAACGAGAGGTATATTTGCCGCTCTAGAGATGTACTAAAGGCGAGAAGATCACTATTACGTATTTTCAACAAACATGCAAAGCTATAGATACTCGACCCCGACTACTTGATTTACGCTCCACTCTACATTCTGCAACGAAATTTAGAGTCGATTAGAAGAACATGAAGCTAAAGCAATACCGAAAGGTGCTTCTCTTGCAGCATTCACGAAAAAAGGTCTCAATTAAATCTGCACCGAGCTATATTTCTTTATTGCTTTAGGTAGTCTGTTGATAGCATATAGAAATTGAAGAAGTTTCTTACAAGGGCGCCTGGTCACGCAGTTCGATAATATAGTCGAAACTGAATGGTATTAGAGGGTGTCCTGCTTGGTATCAGAATTAAAACTAAATTTTGTGCTGACAAATTTCCAAAGACCATATGCTGTACTCTAGTATATATAGATGTATACAGTTATACACTCATAGAATCATAGATACAATACTTTCTTGTTCGGTAATACCTGGGGCCCTGGGGCCTGGGTTGTTGCTTAGTCTTAGACATGCAGTAAAAAGAAAAGATGTACAAAACGGAGAACGTGGAAACGGGGATTGCACACAGACCTTTTATATATTAAAATACCCCAGCAGACATATTTATCTTTATTATGTAAAATAGATAAATACACTCTTGTGTTGTGACATATGTCACGGGTGTAAATATTTATTATTAGTATTTACATATACACTGTACACAGTTGATAGCTGTGCGAACCATATTTTTTGTTTTTGGTTAGTTTTTATATTTAAAAACGAAAAAAACCCCATTATAGCCTAGACATTTTTGAAAAACAATTATGCATAGTATACATAATAACATGTATTGTATAAAAATAAATAAATTTACACTCAATATTCCTCCTCAGACCCAGACTAGGTTTTACTCGCGGCTCGGAAACAACATTTGGTTTTTGTTTTAAAAATAAACACAAAAAAACACAAATGTCAATTCTAAAAAGCAATATTGAAAAAAAGAATAAATCAGCTGAGTGGTGGACTGTGGACACTGGGACTGGACTTCACTGGAGTCACTGGATGCTATTGCTATCCAAAGACTCTATTTAGTATTACAAAGAGCGTACCACAGGTCCACAAGTCAATTTTTAATATTTTAATAGAAAAACTAAAAATTAGTAAACATTCACGTAAAGACATATTTTTGGTAAATAGTGATTGTACAATGCACTCTTGCCTCGACTCTTGACTCTTGAGTGACTTGACTACAGTCTACAGTACATAGTACATACTAAATATGTACATAGTATGAAGTTTTAAAGTTTTATTTTTAAAACTGGGTTAAAAAGAATACTTCGGAGCTCCTCCGTGAGTCTGTGTAGATGAAGTAGCTCAATTCTATTTTACTCGATACTTTAAAAAAATAATTACTTATACTACCTAATAACTAACAGCGACTGGCAGGCTGGCAGCGAGTCAGCGACAGAATGTGACACTGACAAGTGACAACCTGCTGCTAAAAATATTTAAAAAAATGGTCGACCTATTATTTTATATATTTAAATACAGCCTTTGAGTTTGAACTTTGAAGACTGGGTCACTGGGGCGACTGGGCCCACCAGAGGTTTCAGGACTTCAGGACTTCAGGCCCAGGGACTCCAGTCTCCAGCCTCCTGAGGCTCCAGCGCTCAGACTTTCAGGGCCCTCAAGTCTCAACTGACAACTCTCACAGGCCTCAGAAGTCAGAAGTCAGGACTGGCTTAGGTGCGGTTCAGCGGCTCAGCGGCTCAGCGGCTCAGCGTAATCTCATAATGTTCCACCATAAGGGTTTATACGTTCAACGAACAACATTTTATGGGACAATTGAAAACGTAGTAAGGTAAGGTATATATATATATAGTCTATTGGCCTAAAATAATCGGTCAGCAGCGCGACCTCCAGATAGTGCACCTACTATCATATATCTAGCCACATAATACTGTAGATCAATAAACGAGTAGAAATAAGGCCAAAACTTGGCGATATACTTGACCATAATATACGTTCAACATTTAACGCGTCGAATTTAAACGTAGGAACGTTATTCGTTATGAGGTTGGCGCTCAGCGGAGCCTCTCTTTCTGACTTTCAGATTTCCTGTAGGGTTGTTAGATTTTATGATTTTATCCATCGTCCATAACACTACAGGTGGGCATGTGCATAAAGCCTTTTTTTTCTGGAAGAAGAACAATCATACTAAAAATTAATTCATTTCAAAAAGCCAAAAGGAAAATCGGCTCACGCCGTAAATATTGGGTGAAACTTTCGATTGTTAAAGTAATAGCCAATGGGATTTCTTATCCGTCAAGTTTAGACAGTGGATGTGCGCCTGACATCAGATTTGAATAGTCGACCAATTGGCAATTGGCGACCTGCGGGGGAACTTCTGCGGGCGGGTTGTGTCTCACTCCTGCCTGACGCCCTCACCCGGCTCATCGGCGCGCCGCCTCTTGTTGTGTGTGCTACGGGGGTGGGGCAGGACTCGCAGGAGCCGTCGAGCCAGAGTTCCAGGAGGCTTGCATTTCATTTATTTATATCTCCTAACAGTCTATTGGAGAAGAAATTGAAGTTGAAATTTTGGACCAAAGAAACGCCGAATAGAATACATTTCGTCACGATGCTGAATGCTGATTACTCTATACTACCACCTGCAGTGCCAACTGCCAAGTTGCCAACAGTACCACGAAGTGTGCCAAGTGCCAACTGTGAACTGCCGAGAGTACCGACCACTGGGACTAAAATAGACTAAAGTTTGTTTTTGTACGTTCACAAACACAAAAATAATTCAAAAAAACATTGCCCGATGGGCTATGGCCTATATTGGAATCTGATAATTTTATAAAATTGGTCCCAATTGAGAAAACAAGTTCAAGCGAACGGCGAACCACAGCATTCGCATTTTAGCTGATCAATTTTCAAAAGGTATATATAGCGATCACACTTCCTATGACAGGTTCATACCCTCAAAACAACACAGAATGAAAGGAATAAGAAGGAAAATTATAAACGTACCAGCCCCCCCACCGAACTGTTAGCTTATATTCTTCATCATGTGTTAATCTAGCCACCCTATCGTCTCTGAATCTTACGTTTAATTCTAAACTAAGTTTCCTTACAAGTCCGTCAAGATGCCTGCCCCTCAACCCAGCCAAAGTTGCCCTAAACTTCAGAGAGACAGAGCTTTGCCCTACCCTTGTGAACGACCCCCAGGAGAAAACAGCTGTACCTAACACTGAGTTGCCCCCTAAACAAACAATAGAATTACCAGAACATTTATTCGATATGAGTACTCTCGAGGATTTCGACCTTGGACTACTGGACCTTCCAGTTTTGCCTGGCACTGGTATGTTTACTCAGATTTGTTTCTTCGTAGTTTTCAAAGCTCATTGTATAATGTCAGGACCATTGCTCAATTGTTATTGATGTATTAATGCTCATTATGTGAATTTCTTTATCTCAACAGCTGATGGCAGTGGAGCATCCACTCCAAGCCTGTTTTCAGGTAATAACATGTCACCAACGGGCCATGTAGACTACAACGCGTCCCCAGTTGGCTTCCTTGATTGGTCGTCTCCTGTGGGCACCTCTTCGCAGTTTTTGCTGGATCTTTGCGTGTCAAATATACCTCCGCCAGCTCCAATTGCAGGGGCCGATGATGGATTATATCCGTCGACCACCGCGCTTGAATGTGAAGACTTCTTGGGCCTAATGCCAGTGCCTATAGGTCTTCCGCAAGCGCTAACATCTGACGCTTTATTTGCGTCAACAAATAATTTGCTAATGGGAAGTTCTTCTGCACTGTCCTCGACAAGCAGTATATCATCTCTTTCTTCTCCCGACAATTTGCATAACACTGGATCTGGAATTAAGAGAGAAATCTCTATGATTTCAGAGGACGGTACGGAAGGTGAAAGTTCCGTATCTTCTGGCGAAGAAGTGACCAAGAAACCAGCGAGAAAGCATAAGAAACCTCGTATCAGTGAATTGTCGGAGGCTGATGCAACTGCCAAGCGCCAAAGCAACCGAGAAAGTGCTCGCAAGTCGCGTGCACGTAAACGTGAGCGTTTGGACAATGTTTATGTCGAGAACGAAACCCTGAAGAAAGAAAATATGGAGCTGCGTTTGCGTTTGCAAATGTTGATGACGTCCATGATCATTTCACAAAGTTCGACCGTAACGACAGCTAATACTGTTGGCGAGCTGATGTAGGATCAAGAGCGTTTATCAGGCTGCGAGTTCATAACATAGATGGTGTATGTCGCCATCCGTTGTATTTGACAGTCGACAGAAATGCCACTATTTTCTAGTTTTGAATAACTTGTTTCTATCATGTATCTGTTTTTAAGTCCGAGGAGAGCCTTACATAGTATACCTGTAAGTAGTTCACTATGTATATTACTAAACCCTTTAAATAAACATACGTTAAATCAATGAATGATATATATTTTTAACATTTGTTCAATCTAGCTAAAAACTTTTAGATATAAATATTTATATAGCTTCTAAATTGTAAAGCGTGCGGTTCCTCGTCGCTCAGAAGATATATATGTATACCTAATAAGGAAACGTATATATATTTATAAAATATATGTATAGATATAAATACATTAGTGTATACTGGATAATACATTAGTGTATACTGGAATAAAGTGTTATATATTAATATATCATCACACACAGAAATAAAAATAATAATAGTAAAAATAATCAAAAAAAATAAAAATAAATAGTATGTATGTATATATATATATAATGATACAAGTAGAATAATAATAGTAATATATATATATATATATATA